TTGCCCGAGGGGAATAGTTCCTGTCAAGGGTTTGATGAAAGAGCTATCCCTCTCACAGCCAGTGGATAAGCATTTTATTATACTGATGTATATCATTTCTGAGGGTTTGTATTACCTGATACTACAGTTTCATAGGCAAAACATGGAAAGAATAAATATAATAGTTTTGAACAAGTATTTGGAATAAGATAACACTGCTAGAATGAGCTGAAATCTTGATGACGTTACAATGCTACTGAAGTCAGGATGACATCATCAGTCTATAGATTGATTATAGGAAATCAAAATTGACGGCAAAAATTGCATGAAAATTTTCCGAGGGGTGGATAGCAAAAACTATACCCCGGGATATAGCTTTGCTGTGCGTGGAAATTTTCAGACTATCAAAGATAGTTATTTTACCTTCTTAACTTTATATAGGAAACATTTTAACAGATACTATACTATACTATACTATACTATACTATACTATACTATACCATGCCATACCCTACCATACTATATAATTAGGGCCCCGCTCTGCGGGCGCCCTATAGTGATCAGTCCGTCCGTCCGTCTGTCCGTCCGTCCGTCCGTCCGTCTGTCCGTCCGAGATCTCTTGTCCGGAGCATATCTTCTCTCTCCTTGGCCCAATCTGGCTCATACTTCACCCACAGAGTGTCTTTGGGTAAAGGGTGTGCAGTGACCTTGAACCATGTTTCTAGGTCTAAGGTCAAGGTCTTAACAGAATTATATGAAAAATCCTTGTCCGGAGCATATCTTCTCTCCTCTTGGTCCAGTGTGACTCATACTTCACTCACAGAGTGCCACTGGTCAATGGATGTGCAGTGACCTTGAACAAAGTTTCTAGGTCAAGGGTCAAGGTCAAAAATAGCCTCTCTGTTTAAATTCTTGTCCGGAGCATATCTTTTCTCTCTCATGGCCCAATCTGGCTCATACTTCACCCAAAGAGTGTCTTTGGGTAAAGGGCATGCAGTGATCTTGAACCATGTTTCTAGGTCTAAGGTCAAGGTCATAGAAGAATTATATATATGAAAAATCCTTGTCCGGAGCATATCTTCTCTCCTCTTGGTCCAGTGTGGCTCATACTTCACTCACAGAGTGCCACTGGTCAATGGATGTGCAGTGACCTTGAACGAAGTTTCTAGGTCAAGGGTCAAGGTCAAAAATAGCCTCTCTGTTTAAAATCTTTGTTCGGTGCATGGTTTCTTTCTCTTATTAGTCTAGTCAGCCTCAAACTTTACCAATTGACGTAGGGTACAGAACATTTGTGAATTTCCTTCCATATTTTGATACATATGCAACAGTTTTCATAGAGGATATGCAACATTTGTGATTTTTGTGCTGCTTTTTGATAGATGGTATGGAGCACTCGTGATTTTCATGCCATTTTTTATTATAACAAGGTTTACATAGAAGCCCTTTAGACTCAAACAACACATCCCTTAATAGTACACAAGTGTTCCTCTTCAAAATAAACCCTTTTCAGCTCCTTTACTTTTTCATGTTCCTTGCTGAAAGCGGGGCCCTTTGAGATGGCCACCATCTCAATGATATCTAGTTCTGTTTATCGACTTTTGATTTCAAGATTTGGTGCACAAATTAACTATACTAAGGTGATATACTATTACACTTCTGTAAAAACATTTCCTATATTAAGTTAAGAGGGTAAATTAACTATTCCTCTATAGTCTGAAAATTTCATGCCTAGCAAATCTGTACCTAGGGTATAGATTGTGCTATCCACCCTTCAAAAATTCAATTTTTGCCGTCAGTTTTGATTTTCTGTGATCAATCTCTAGACTGATGATATCATCACGACTTTAGTAGCATTGTGATGTCATCAGGATTGTGATGTCATCAGGATTCAGCTCACTTTTGCAGTGTCCTTTTACAAATACTTGTGCAAAACTTTAATAATTAACATAATCCAAAAAGAAAAAGGGAAAATCAAAATTCACTTTTAATCACCCACGTTTTACAATCTGAAGTCGTTTTGGACTGAAAATCCTTATATGTGCCGCCTCAAGGTATTATTCTTTCCATATTTTACGTATGAAACTGTAGTATCAGGAAATCCAACCCTCAGAAATTATGATATATATGTACATAAGTTTTATAAAACGCTTATTTACTAGTTGTGAGTGGGATAGCTCTTTCATCAAACCCTTGACAGAAACTATTCCCCTCGTGGAAGCCTCAGGGACTATACTATACTAGACTAGGCTAGACTAGACTAGACAATACTAGACTAGACTAGACTAGACTATACTATACAATACTAGACTAGACTAGACTATACTATACTATACAATACTAGACTAGACTAGACTAGATTAGACTATACAATACTAGACTAGACTAGACTAGACTATACTATACTATACTATACAATACTAGACTAGACTAGACTAGACTATACTATACTATACAGTACTATATACTATACTATACTATACTTTACTATACTATACTATACTCCATAGTTCTGTTTATCGACTTTTGATTTCAAGACTTGATACACAATTAAACTTTATTATAACAAGGTACATCTTTCTTTATTGTGACACGAAACCGGTGTTTTTCTTATTATTGTATTAGCAATACGGAATGACTACAGTGGGCAGAGCTACTTTCCATTCTGTATTAGCCCTATATACTGTCTTGTATTAGCCAACTATTCTGTATCTAAAATACAGCATGGTCTAAAAATAAATCTGATTCAATTGATCAAAAGCACGTACAAATAGTAAATGCTGATTTTTTCCTCTTATAAATTTTGGAGAAATATTTCCCTAGGAATGTAAAATGTCAAATTTTCTCAATCACGTTTAAAAACTTATTCCACACAGAATCTATATGTTATTTTGTTTCAAATGAAAAGGAAAATTCGCAATTATGGAAAACATCCTGTGTTGGATAATTAAATTCCTCAAAACCTGTTTTCTTTTCCTGCTTTTTTGTGTCCCCTTCAAAATGGTAAAGCAATGGGTTCACGGTTGCACCATCCATTAATGAAATGTATTAGTGAAATTCGATACCCCCCCCTCCCAATTTTCCACTCTTCTCATGCAAACTCGATCATTTCCATTTTTTAGCATTTTTATTTTCTAAAATTTCATCTTAAATCCTCATCGCGGACGACTGTCGCACATCTCTTTCACTTCGTTTTTAATATCGCATTTCAATAAAAATTAAAAATCTGTGACATCAAAGTCCATCGAAGAGCTGTCTGTATCAGCTGTATTTGTATCTAGTTAAACTGAGATTTTAAGACCCCTGACATAAATTAGGATCAATCTCCATCTACAACAAGGTTAAATTGTCCACCTTATCAATTAAGACTTGCTTCGAGTCTGTTACATCTACCCCATGTCAAAACTAATCTGAGTGAATCTTACGTTCTCCATAGAAATATATATACTGCGGATGCTGCACAGCTAAAAGTGGGATGTGCTTTTTTTGATTGATCGTGTCACAAATCATTTAGAGAACTCGACAGGTTCTGTATCGTAGATACAGATTTGGGGGCGGAGACTCTTGCTACGCACTTGTCCATCCCCAAATTTGTATCTACGATACAGAACCAGTCTCGTTCTCTGAATAATACTTACAAGTACTCACCATTAGAGCTACAGTCCTATCAGAGACTTCTGGTTTAGGTCAATACAATGATTTAGCCACCTGAGGAGTACAATATACACCGAACCAAAGGCTTGTACTTCAAGGGTGGCTAAATTGTGGTATTGACTGAAAAACAGCAATAATTGTTTTACTATATCATTTAATGATAAAATGACACAAACTTGTTAAGCAAACTTAGATATCTTTCTTGATTAATTGCATATTGAAATGAGAAATTAGCTTAAAATAACCATAACCATTTGTATTAGTTTTAGAATTCTTAAACTATATTTGAAAGAAAAAAAGATCAGACACATAACATCAAAGTAGGAAAAATTAACAATTAACTTAAAAAAATCTTTAACAAAAAAAAAGAACAGAATTCTCCAAACTTCAAAATCTTGTTTAGGGAGGTGGGGGTGTGGGGCTAGGTCCATTAACATAGGAGAGATTAGGTTATACTGGATTAAAAAGATGAGGGTACTAGTCTTAAAATGAATATTGTCATTCTTAATTAATAGAAAATTAATTAAGACAGAAAAAAGTAAGTGGCCCGGGGGTGGGGGGGGGGTATGGCAAGTGAACAAGTGAAATAATTTTTCATAACTAATTGTAATTGTTTAGAAGTTCTCTATATTTATTTTATAAACTGTGTTATTATGTCATTAAAAAGTTAAAAAGTAAATACATGTATTACAAATAGATGAGTTCCCATGCATGTTTAGAATAATCTTACATTTGCATGAAGATGCTCTAATTTTGTCACTTTTGCTTCAGCCTCGAGCTCGACTCCAAAATGGAGGAAGCCAACTTGATCAAAGGCCCAGTATATAGATACTGTATGTGTGTACACGTCGCCTTGATCACAGACACAGTCTAAGGATTCTACACGTGTGTACATGTAAATATATTATGGTTTGTATACATTTTGATGACATACATCTAGATAATAGAGTCATAATGTACAGAGATGTGTGTCATATTAATATAGACACCAGATATAAAGTGTACAGAGACACTAACTTATATAGTTATATTTATGTGTAACAACATAGTTATTTTTTATCTAAAACATTATCAGTGTAAATTATTATATAATTGTAAAGAGAGTGTACAGAGATACTAACTTATATAGTTATATTTATGTGTTATTTATAGTTGTTTATCTAAAACATTATCAGTATAAATTATTATATAATTCTAAAGAGAGTGTACAGAGACACTAGTTAATATAGTTATAATTATGTTACATCATAGTTTTTTATCTAAGACATTGTAAGTGTAAAGAGAGCCCTGTTATTGATGTAGATAATTCTAACACAATGTTGTTATTTACAGAGAAATCTCCCTGACTGAGGAAATCTACACGGGATTCTGTTATAAAACCACAGGATAAAGATGAAATAAATGTCTGCTGTCAATGATGTATAGATTAGTGTTACAGAAATCTGTCACAGTGACAGGTGTTAGTGATTGTAGTCACATTTCCCGTGTATCACCAGACCGGGTCTGGATCAGTGATGAAGACAATCTCATCTTGACAAACACAACAGGTGATAAACTACATCATCTGACAGGTATATATAGTTATGGTTATGGAATACATACAGTGACAAGTGACGGTGATTTAATTTATATAGACAGTTACGGTAACATCAACAAACTGTCTACAGATCACAGAGTACAGACTACATTAATAAAGTACAACACAGCACCATGGAGACCACTGTGTGTCTACAGCTCCCCCTCCACTGGAGACCTGCTGGTCGGGATGCGTAATACTGATACAGATACAGGCCAGGTAAACCGTTACAAGAACACAGGACAACACATACAGACCATACAGCGCGACAACACAGGTCAGGGACTGTATAGTAGACCTAGATACATCACAGAGAACCGCAATGGAGATGTTATTGTGTCTGACTATGACCGTGGTGCTGTAGTGGTGACAGATCGTGTAGGTAGACACCGCTTCTCCTACACAGGACCTCCATCAGGATCAGGACTAGTACCACGTGGAATCTGTACTGACGCGCTGTCACACATCCTGGTGTGTGATTATAGAACCAACACAGTACAGATGATTGACAAGGACGGGCAATTCCTGTCACAGTTAGAGCCAGGACAACACAGGATATACGGACCACGTGGCCTGAGTTATGATGATAGAACTCACTTACTCTGGATTGGATCATACAGAAACAACAAAGTAAACATCTATAGACTTATTTATGGAGACTCTCTGACCGGTAAGTTATACTGTTGTATTGTGTTTATGTCTTCTGTTTTAGGTGTAAACTATATTATAAATATAATTAGATAATTATTAATGAAGTCATAAATAATAATCTTATAGGGTCATTGATTATACTTAGATAATTAATCAGGAAGTCATTAATATTCAATAAATATGGACATTGTTTTAAGTTGAATTAAAAGTCATTATTTAAAGTCATTATTTTAAATGTAATCACAAGTTGTTAATGAATAACTGTAATCATTGTTATAAGTGTATAACTACATTACATGTTAATTACGTTGATTATGATTTGTTGAATTACGTAACAAGATTAAATTTAACAGATACAGATCTAAATGAATAAATATATAATTACTGGATTAAATCTCACAGATACAGATATATATATTAAATAAATATAAGATTAAATTTAACAGATACAGATCTATATACATAAATATATAATTACTGGTCTGATAATATTGAGACTAGAGAGATGGTGACTAGGAATTGTTTACATGTTTGACGTTTTCTTGGTTAAGGAACATTTTAGTGCACTATAACTTTGTTGTCTTAGACAAACTATTTATTACTACAGATCAAACTTTACACAGATTCTGTACATCATGTACAACTGGATCTACTCTGTCTGGATATAATCATACCTATATATATATATAGGTATATAATCGTGTTAGTGTACTATAACTTTGTTGTCCTATACAAACTATTTATTACTACAGATCAAACTCTACACAGATTCTGTACATAATGTACAACTGGATCTACTCTGTCTGGATATAATCATACCTATATATATAGGTATATAATTGTGTTAGTGTACTATAACTTTGATGTCTTAGACAAACTATTTATAACTACAGATCAAACTTTACACAGATTCTGTACATCATGTACAACTGGATCTACTCTGACTGGATATAATCATACCTATATATATAGGTATATAATCGTGTTAGTGTACTATAACTTTGTTGTCTTATACAAACTATTTATTAATACAGATCAAACTTTACACAGATTCTGTACATCATGTACAACTGGATCTACTCTGTCTGGATATAATCATACCTATATATATAGGTATATAATCGTGTTAGTGTACTATAACTTTGTTGTCTTAGACAAACTACTTATTACTACAGATCAAACTTTACACAGATTCTGTACATCATGTACAACTGGATCTACTCTGACTGGATAAAATCATACCTATATATATATAGGTATATAATCCTGTTAGTGCACTATAACTTTGTTGTCTTATACAAACTATTTATTACTACAGATCAAACTTTACACAGATTCTGTACATCATGTACAACTGGATCAACTCTGGCTGGATATAATCATACCTATATATATAGGTATATAATCATGTTAGTGCACTATAACTTTGTTGTCTTATACAAACTATTTATTACTACAGATCAAACTTTACACAGATTCTGTACATCATGTACAACTGGATCTACTCTGACTGGATATAATCATATATTGAATATTATGACCTTTTGGGTTTTCGTCCTATATTTGATTTGAATTCATCATCACAGGTTAAATTTATAGTTCACAACAGATATGAGGAATTATGATTATGGTGTAGTGGTGGTACATGTAGTTGGGGGGGGGGGGGGGGTCGTGTAAGCAATGAGAACTAAGGGACATTACTGTAGTGTTAAGCAGGACTAAATCTGGTATAACTCAGTCTCTATGAGAAATTAATTCACTGTCTTCAGTATTCTACAGATCAGTGACATTTTGTACATGTTGACAGATATAGACACCATTGATATTAACACGGCTCTGTCTAGGGATGTTGTGTATTTCTGTAGCAGGTGTTAAGTAAATCTACATGCTTTACTGGAGTGAACTCATGTCCTGTCATGTTCATACAATGCTTGTGTATTTGAATCAATAAAAGTTTGTAGTCTGTCTCAGGAAAAAAACATGATGTGAGATTTGATGTGGATGATAAAAAATAAAGAAAAATGATAATGTTCCGGACTAATGATCCTTAATAAATTTCAACATGTAGAAAAGAGGGAAGCTTTTCCAAAAATTTGATGATTTGTATATTTTATATGTTTTGAATAATTAAAGGTTGCACCACTAGAAAAACATACTTTTACTTGGTTTAGTATATACATTTAAGAACTCTGCAAATTCCAGGGGGGAAGGGGGGGGGGGGCAGACACCTCCCCCCAACAACCCCCCTAACCCCCTCTAGATCTGCGCATGCTTTTTTATTGATGTTTGTCTGTCTGTCTGTCGGTCTGTCTCTGTGTATTTGTTTTTTAATTTTTCACAGAAAACAAACCAAGTTTATGCTGTGGCATATATTCCTTGTAATTACATACCTATGATAGAGGTATATACATACATGTGTATATATATATATATATATATATATGTGTGTGAATGGGGTGAGACAGAGAAAATTTCTTTATTTCTCTCTCTCTCTCTCTCTGATATAATAGATTCTATGCCCCTCCGAATACTTAAGGTAAATTTTTATTACAGTCAGGTTTGGGGGGATATGTAAATTGTGCACTAAATCAATATTATGGTGAGTTTCCACTAAATTTTCAGTCATAAATGTTCTTGATTTCATCAAATGATAGCTTACTGTGTAAAGCACAAGTCTTTAGGGATTTTTAAAAATTGACAATAATTTACATGATGTATATGAATTTTATTAATTTTTTTGCCAATGTGTTAATTTTCAAACTTAAGATACATTTTAACATAAAAATCAGTGATTCCTCTCTCAAAGAAAGATAAATGTTGGCATCTCTTCAAAATCTCACAAGAACCACTGCCGATCCCTCACTCCCCCTCCCACCCCAACCCCAAAAAAGGAGAAATAATAAAATTATGAATGTTTCCCAATATTTTGACATTCATGCCCTGTTACATTGATCATTCTTTGATCTATTTATTAATTTTTGATTAGGACCCAGCTCTACGGTTTTTAATTATAGTACATAGTGTAGAATCAAATCGATCCCTGGGGATAGGGTGGGGCCACAATGTATGATTAAAGTTTTACATGGGAATTTATAAATAAAAATCTGCTAATGAAAAAAGCAGGGTTAATGGTGAGCATTGGGTTTGTGTTGTGGACCTCAGGCATCTTGTTTCTGAACTATTTATTATGCCACCCTTTGAAGAAGGGAGGGCATATTGCTTTGCTGCTGTCTGTGGGTCGGTCCACCAACAGTTTCCATTCATTTTCTTTGCAGAGGTTGTACATACTGAAATGAAATTTAGTATACAGATTTATCATAAGAATATCTAGGTCAAGTTCTGTCTTGGGTATGATCGAGCAATTTTTGACAGAGTTATGTCCCTTGGACTTAGAAAAAATTCCAATTATTTGAGGGGTGGGTGGGGGGTGGGGTGCATAAGTGTTTCAAAAACATCTCTTTTTTTCACCGAATTTTCCAGATCTGGATGATAGGTATCTTTTACTGTGCAAACAGTCCTGTGTAGTGTATATTCAAGCTTGTAAACCTCATCCCATTTACCTCTGAATCTCATTTGAACTTTTGAGACTATTTCAATTGGTATATCTATGTTTTGTTCTTATTTAATGTTTAAGGAGGATATAATATTTCAAAGATTTCTTTCTGAATGTATAAAAATTTTAGCAGATCTCATGATGGAGAACCTGCAATTTGAAGTTTAAGAATGATTAACTGCTGAACTAATCTCACTCTGTGTGTACATTTAATGGTTCTTATATAATTTCAGCGCTCTCTCTGGAGAAGATGAAGTGTGTGAAGCATCCCAGAGGTACATTGTCCCAGTTCTGTATCCCGTGTGAGACTGCCTTGTGTGAGATGTGCTTCAGGACCTCTAGTGATCATATAAAACATGATGTTAAAGATGTTGAGAAATTGTTTCGTGAAATTCACAAGAGAAAAGGTTTGTAACAACACAGAATGTGACTTTGAAGAAAATCTTTGACAAACAAAAATTGTTTTATCCATTTTTAGATCACCTGAGTCACTCAGGTGACCTATTGCTATCTGTTTTTTCTGTCATCATTCGTAAACTTTTGAACATTTTCAGCTTCTTCTCTGGAACCACTGAACCAATTTCAACCAATTTTGGTATATATAGCATTTATGGGTGAAGGGGAACAGAAATTATGAAATTCATGGTCCTTGCCCCCCTGGGGCCTGAGGGGTGGGGCTAAAACCATCAAAATTAATGCAATCTTTAAAAATCTTCTTCTTTACTCATGAACATCAAGAAGTCAAACTATTGGCATGAATGTAATAAGCATTGAGCTCTCTACCAAAATTTTGAAATTTATGGCCCCAGGGTCAGTGGTTCTGGTGTTAGGGTGGGGCTATATAGATTATATAGTAAAAGTGCATTATTAGTCCCCTACCGGTGAAACCGGAGGAGACTATAGGTTTCCTCTGAGTCCATCTGTCTGTCCGTCTGTCTGTCTGTCTAGCTGTCCCTCTGTCTGTCTGTCAGTCTGTCCCACTTGGTTTTCCGCACTTTTTTCTGAAACGCTTGCAGATATTGAGCTGATTTTTGGTATGTGAGTGTATCTTGATGAGTTACAGATCAAGTTTGCATTTCGTTCCGCTTCATTGATTTTTGACAGAATTACAGCCTTTTCAATTTTTAAGGGTTTTCCGCAATTTTCTTCTAAACGCTTGTAGATATTGATTTTTTTTTGTATGTGGCTTTACCTTGATTAGTTATAGATTAAGTTTGCATTTCGTCCCACTTCATTAATTTTTGACGGAATTATGGCATTTTCAATTCTTAACGGGAACCAGATTACACTTGCCGGTAGGGGACTAGTATTGCTAATGCAATACTCTCAGAATGCTTGTTGCTTTGAAAATCTTCTTCTCTGCTCCTAGGTATTAAATAAACTAATTAAGTACATAGTTATGTTAAATAAGGCTGCCTCTTCCAAAATTGTGAATTTCATGGCCCCTGGGTCAGGGGTTCTGGTGTTAGGGCGGGGCTGTATTGATTATATACTATTAGTGAAAATGCATTATTTCTATGAAAATCTTCATCTCTGCTCATGGGTATCAAATAAACTAACTTAGTACATATTTATGATGAGCAAGAGTGCCTCTTCCAAAATTGTGAATTTTATGGCTCCTGGGTCAAGGGTTCCAGGGATTTATCAGCATATTTTGGGAAATGCCATTTTTGGGGAATTGGGAAAAAAATATTGGCTTTTTGATGAAATTGGGAAAAATTAAAAATGTTGCTTAAATCATGTATTCAGGTGTAATTCATTTAATATTTCAGCATGAACTCTAATTTGGGCAACCAACCAGACAATTATATATGATCAAACTTCATACAAGATCAATTATAAATAAAAGACTAATAAAAGTAAAATTGACTTCAATGAGTATAAAGTGTTTATACAACTTAGAGTAGTACATGTGTGTATGAGACCTAGGGTAGTACATGTGTGTATGAGATTCCAATTTAGGTCATTACAGAATCTGTTTCTGGAAAATATAAACCTTTTGCAAGTATATATTTTCTCAAAGTCCTCTTTTAATGTGTATTAATGCATTGAAAATATATTTTTCTATTTGAAATAATGCCTACAGTCCCTACCATTCACTCGTAGATCAATTGAGTATGTTTAAATAACTTCCGGAATCTATATAATTACACAATATCACCATTTTCAGAAAAACGGAGGAAATTCGAATTAAAAGTTGGCGATGTTTTTGCAGTGTTTTTAAACATGTATTATGACTGTAGCTTTGCTAAATGACTTAAATAGAGGAAAATTACAGACAATCTGACAATTTTCCTTGTGTATTTCCAAGATAATTAAATATAAAAGCATTGTTCACCAACTGGGAAAAAATACTGCCAAATTGGGAAAAACTGAACTCATTTTCAATTGGGAATGGGGCCGAATTTCGGCCCCTGAGAAGGTACTGATAAATCCCTGGGTTCTGGTGTTAGGGCGGGGCTGTATGATTATATAGTGAAAATGCATTTTTTCTTTGAAAATCTTCTTCTCTGCTCCTGGGTATTATTTAAACAAAGGAACTGCATGGTTAATTATGATAAGCAAGAATGCCTCTTCCCAAATTGTGAAATTCTTGGCCCCAGGGTCATGAGGGGGGGCTTTATTGATTATATAATGAAAATGCATCATTACTTTCAAAATATTTTTTCTTCTCCTGGTTATAAAGCAAACAAACAAGTGTATAGTTATGATGAGCAAGGCAAGGGTACTTTACAAAATTTTTAAAACTTGTAGTCCCAGGGGTTCTGGTGTTTCTCCGAGGTGGGGGGAAGGGGGGGGGGCTCTATTGATAATTTAGTGAAAATGTGTGAATTCTTTGAAAATCTTCATCTTACTGCATAGTTATGATGATGAGGGTACCTCTTCCAAATCTGTAAATTTCATGACCCTGGGTCATGGGTTCTGGTGTTAGGGCTGTGTTAAATCTGTAGTGAAAATGCATTATTTCTTTGAAAATCTTCTCTGCTCCTGGGCATATTGGAGGCAAACAAAGTAAAAGTTTTAATAAGCAAGGGTATTTTTACTGGACATCTAGACCATTTAGTCAAGTGTTCTGGTCCTGGCCAGGGCTCTATTAATTTGTATTCTACTGAGCAAAGTTATTCCCCTTTGTCATTCACCTTCGATAGTTAATCACTGTAAATAATGTATTTGAAAGGTTAATAGAATAAGAGAATTATGCAAGAATATTTTTTGTATAATACAAATAGTACTTTCATAGTTTTATCGATCATGTTGACTTGGGAATAATAGATGAATAACAAGAGGCCCATGGACCCCAACGCTCACCTGAGTAACCTTGGCCTTGCTGTTTTTCACCTGATCCCCCCCTTGTAGTACTTATTGTGGGCCCGCCCTACCCCAAGGGGTCATGATTTGAACAGTTAGAATCTACACTACCCCAGGATGCTTCCACTTAAGTTTCAGCTTTTCTGGCCCAGTGGTTCTTGAGAAAATGTTTAAAGATTTTTCCTACATATTTCAATGTGAAAATTGGATTCCCTTTTGTGGCCCCACCCTACTCCCAGGGGTCATGATTCCAACAATATAGAATCAATCTACACTATCCCAGGATGCTCCCACTAAAGTTTCAGCCTTTCTGGCCCAGTGGTTCTTGATAAGAAGATTTTTAAAGATTTTTTCTACATATTTCAATGCAAAACTTGGATTCCCTATTGTGCCCCCCCCCCCCCCTACCCAGGGAGTCAGGATTTGAACAATTAGAATCTACACTACCACAGAATGCTTCCACATAAGTTTCAGCTTTTCTAGCCCAGTGGTTCTTGAGAAGAAGATTTTTAAAGATTTTTACTACATATTTCAATAAAAAAAACTTGAATTCCCTATTGTGGCCCTGCCCTACCCCCAAAGGTCATGATTTGAACAATTTAGAATCTACACTAACCCAGGATGCTGCCACATAAGTTTCAGTCTTTCTGACCCAGTGGTTCTTGAGAAGAAGATTTTTAAAGATTTTGTTCTGCATATTTCAATGTAAAACTTGGATTCCCTATTGTGGCCCCGCCCTACTCCCGGAGGGTCATGATTTGAAAGATTTAGAATTTACACTACCCCAGGATGCTTCCACATAAGTTTCAGCTTTTCTAACCCAGTGGTTCTTGAGAAAAAGATTTTTTAATGACCCCACCCGATTTTTCTCCTTTCTTTATTATCTCCCCTTTGAAGGAGGCTTGGCCCTTCATTTTAGCAATTTAAACTCCCTTTTACCCAAGGATGCTTTGTACCAAGTTTGGTTAAAATTGGCCCAGTGGTTCTTGAGAAGAAGTTGAAAATGTGAAAAGTTTACAGACGGATGGACAGACGGACGGATAGACAGACAGACGATGGACAACGGGTGATCAGAAAAGCTCACTTGAGCTTTCAGCTCAGGTGAGTTAAAAATGAGACAAAAATAACTTATCTTTTTTAAAGTTCTTCAAAGGCGAAGAGAGGCCAATATGAAAGGTAATAATATGGGGTTAAAAAATAAATATTTTGGTGATAGTCTGCGTGGTAATAATGATAAATGGGGGACAGATAGAAACTAGACCAATTATTTTGTTGATCCTAATTGTACTGTTTTTCTTGTTTTATCAGTTTATGGATCATCTAAATTGTTGTACTCAGGTTACCGTTAAGGCCCTTGGGCCTCTTGTCTTAAAGATGTATAAGATTTGGTTCTGAAGCTTACCAAATTCTAATACACCTTAAGGCTTTCTTAAAGACTTAAAGACCTCATGACCTTTAACCTTTGTCCTTTATTAATCTTTAACCTATCCAGTGCTTGTTTAATGAACTTTTGAGCTTGAATACTGTCCATTGTCTCCGTACATTTCATTTCATAAGGTCAATATTGCCCTAAATCTTTATCAATAATAACAGGCCAGGTATTTTTAGGGTTAAAAAACTATTAACATCGTAATATTTCCATTTCTAATTATTTTCTCTGTGATAACTCTTTGAAAGTTAGGTGAGTTGATTTCTTGATACTGTAACGGGTCTCTCTCTATATATATTTTCTCTCCGAGACTCATTAGGGGAATTGTCTTATCTTTCGTGGCAAGTCTTGCGTTACATGGCTCAACGGAGCTAGGAGGGCTAATGTGGCACAGTGGTTTAAAATTTAACACCCTTAATTTCTATTTCACAGCACTAAGTTATCTCATTTTAATTGAAACTGTTTTCAATTCCTCTAAGTTATCTCCCTTTAACCAATAACCTTTTAATTACTCAACTCTATCGCTCACCACTGTCTACAACTTATACCTCCTATTATTAACCCGCACTCTCTAAGTTACACTGAATTTATTAATAAATGAAATCTCTCAGCTTTTCTTCTCTATTTTTAAAACCTTTTATAATCTGGATTTTAAGAAAGTCACTAAAA